AAGTGATGAATGATAAATCAAATGGGAAAGCCCACAGTTCGGCTCCACCTTATCAATATTTTGCTAATAACTAGACTCAAAACTAACAAATTAAACTAACACTGCAAGACACTGCTGAAGCAGAGCAGCAACGGGACTGATCAACATTTTTCGTACACGTGAGGTTTGAGAACGAACTTTCCTGCAAAATAAATGAGTATGCAGATATCTTATTTTTTTATAAAATTTTCTTTCTAAATATTTTGACGCATTAAATAATTAATCCTAAATATTCAGAAAGGATGTCATAATATCGAGCATGACTAATTAACTGATCATTCTAATTCAGTGCAGTGCAGCTCAGAAAAGTAGCGTCATAGAACGTAAAAAAAAAAAAATCTCAACCTGACAAGTAGTAATTAATCTCTATCTAGAAACGTTTGTCCAAAATTCACATTAGTAATGCCTGAGTCAATTTAAAAATCACCCCATATACATTTCCTTTTACTTCTCCTGCTATGATCGTTTGAGAGCGATTCGGATCTGATAATTTGCTAACCGTTTTCTGAAACAACAGTGACTTCCGACAACACTTATTTCCTTTATCCTGTTTCTCTGAAAAGCAATAAGATAATGAAAGGATTAAACGGAGCGGAATAACAAATGACTACCTCATATTACATCGCCACTTTTTAATAAATGAAAAATTTATCTTTATCATAAATTATCTAATTTAAGTTACTTACTTGGCAATCCTCCAAAGCTCTGCCTACGTAATGAGTGCTTTTGTATCAATATACTATCGCACTTTGTTATACTTTCATCAGTGATCTGCTCCTGTTGATTCCACATAAATGCATCTTCCTCATCAGCTAGATGACACCATTGGTTTGGTAGGTCTTGCAGCCATTTCTTAACTCTGAAATGACGCTAATGAATAGAAAATATCCGGAAACTGCTTTGACTTATTAAAAGATTTCAAAGTTGATCGAATGTCATTATATTGTTTTTTTTTTTTTTTTTAAATATGAACCACAAAAATTTATTTAAAATAAAAATATACTTTGCTTTTGGTCCTGTACGTGGGACAACCAATAAAGATGCATGTAAATGTTCCAGACTATCAGATGCTTCATTGCACTTCTGTTCATCATTACTCTGCTTGTCATTTAATATATTTAAATTCGCATTTTCTTTATCATCATTTACGTCCTATAAAAGGAAATTTTCATAATTTAACATGTGCACGTTTTACGTGTAATCATCAATGATAAATAACGAAATAAACAGGTAGTTCATCGTGAGTAATGTTAAAATAAAAGTAATGAGCAGCTAGAGCTAAATAAATGAAACTTTTGGTTTAGTTGTTTAAAACGCAGTTAATCAATAATGAACCTGCTTTATTCCTAAGGAAAGGTTTCGCAATCGGCCTCCACGCACCCATGTAATTGCTTTTTCCTCCTTAAATTTTTTTCAATCTGTTATCAAAATGTAAAATTTCTTGAACAACTGAACATTAAATTATTTTGAGCGCATCATGAGTTTTAAAATCTTAAAGGCAAAACGACCCTTAATTTTGTCGTTAAGAAACAAGTCCGAATGCACGTTTTTTAATTTTCGAAACCGGCGAGAATAGTTCCTAAGTCAAGCCAATCAGAATAAATATTTGACATTAATTTCTTCATATTAATTTTCTTCATAATTTCTTTATATTTTTTCAAAATGTGAAAAACTTAGAACTTACAACACGTCGTTTGGGTCTTTTAACTGTTTCTGATAAATTCGATACCTCGAAACGATTTACAGCTCTTTTCCGGTTCATATAATGACCAACACCTCGCTTTTTTGATTGTAGTGTATGATCATCTTTAAAAAAATATGCCAAGTATGTAAAAAATAATGCTGACAAATGTATCTAAAGTTCTCTGACAAAAAAAAACATTGTGTCACATTATCTTCCTACAAGTATTCATAGTAATGCATACATACCATTATCGACTGCGTCACTACTGCCTTCATCATTTTTCGCTTCCAAACATTCGTTAACAATCTTTTCCTCATCTAAATGACATTGAAAAGTTTGAGATATGGCAGGCAAAAACCTAACTATCTCATTTTGAAACGTATTCGTGGTGGTGTCTTGCAAAATAACAGACTGAGTAGTGGGTATGTCAAATTCTTTATTGTCACTAGCAATCTGAAAAAAAATTTAATGCTCAATGAAATATTAAGTGAATAATAAAACTTAGAAAAAGAGCAACATACTGAACTTGCTTAATTTCGTTACGCAATTTCTTTTCCCCTAAAAACTAACGTAACCCGAGCTTAACAGTTTCATTTTATTTCTTTTTAAAAGAGACGATGACCATTTACTTCAAGAATTCATACGTTTCGGGAATATAGTGTTAAAAATAACGTTCCATATGTAATTTTTATTATAAAATAAGAAAAAATACTTCTTTAATAACTAATTCTTTTACGGTTGGTGGAGAGTCTGGCATTTTCACAACTCCAGGTATCTTCCCAGAACGTGGAGTAATCTCATGAACGTGCGGGACTGAATCGAAATGTACGCGTTTATGCTTATTCCATCCCTTTGCTTTCATTGTTATACGTCGAACTGTTTTCTGAGTAATATTTAGCAAGATGGGCTTCAACGATACCGGTGGAGGCTCGCAAGTTATCTAGAAATGTACAAAAAATAGAGAAAAAATTTAACAGGGTTAGCAATTACTCATACTATTAGTTTTAATATACAATTGGTAACTGGTTGATTTCTCCAAAAATATTCACTTAAACGATGAACATATCAAAGCAAAGCGATGGAATTATGTCGAAACGTTATGCAAACATAAAAACAACAATTAAAGATGTACCTCAAACTTTCTTGGTGCAACCTTTGACCTCGTCCTATAAATCGATTTTCGTAAATTCATTGATGTACGTCGCTTGTTACCCAAAGTAATCACTTTTCCTTCAAGCGCTTTTCCACTGCTACTACGACAGTTAAAATTTGATACGTCGTCAGGAACGGCATTATTCACTTCCGTCTAATATTAGGTAAAAACTAATCAGTTATAGTATCGACAACATTTATGAAAATTGAAGAGAAAGAAGACTGCATAACTTACATTTCTAAAAAATAATGATGAACGTCGTCTTAGATGTTTCCGGCCAAATGCGGCTTTTTCCAAAGAATCATTCATCTGTGAAAACAAACATTTCAAACTATCAACAAATAAACGTGTAGCAATGAACGTCTCTACCAATAAAAATTAGCTAATATGCATAACGTTAAAGATAACTTTACACAGTCTTCTAAGTCATCAATAAATTTACACAGTCATCAAGATCATCAATATGCTTCATCAAAAATAACGTGAAGAACTTTAAAAAAAAAATACTGACGGTTTTATCAGTAGATGAGGTGGTATCCTTTAATGGATAAATTTGAGACTGCTCAGAAATAGTTTTTTCATTAGTTGTCATGCTTCATTTGATGTTATTTTAATTTCTGAAAAAAATAGAATTAACTGCTTCTCTTACAAGTAAAAAGATCAGTTAACAGCCAAAATAATAAATTGATGATTATCGTGAAAATAGAACTGATACATGCATTAGTGATAAAAACATTAATAGAGTGATAACGGTAAGAACTACAAATCCTACAACAGTATTGCCTACTCCATGCAAGGACAACATTTCTTGATGTCAAAATGAATATATCAATGCCACTTCGCAACAATCTTACGCCTCTCATATGGATTTCGCATACAAACATTGCTACATTTACAACAAACAGAAATTAGGAAGACTAAAACGATATTTGCAAAACAATATTACTGGACAGCAAAGGTCCAAATTTTCAGGTCAAAAGCTGCTTTCTGACGTCACGAAAAGTTTTTGAAAATACTTCAGAACAAAAAAACTATAATTTTAATAATTAAAAAAAGGAAGATTATCCAAAAACAAGCCGAAGTATTCCGCCATCTTTTTTTGGCTTTGTTTTCTGTGTTTTTTTTTTTTTTTTTTCAATAATATCAGAATTATTTAATGCATCTGAAGTTAATTAATATTAACTTGTGGTATTTTTCAATTTCAGGATTAACAGCAAAAATTTTCTAATATATATAAAAAACCCTCTTCTCTCACTATTACAGGTATTTTTGACACTTCAGTAATCTACATTAATAAAAAAGTTTCATAGTAATACATTCATTAACAACATTGGCCTACAGTAATTCTTGTTCTACAGCAATGCATTTGTTAGAAACAACATGGACCTACATGCAAGCAACCTGGATAATATTAATGACCGCATAAACAATAATTGATGCATGAAATGCTATACTTGTTGCATGTATTATTGATTGACAAATTAACAAATTAAATTTCTACGTTTCATAGATGTCTCAGACCAAAAAACAGAATTTTTTCTAAAAATTTGCGCTAATATACAAGAAACTTTCTTTTCCTTTTTCGTTTCTTTTGAAGCTAAAAAAAGAGAATACTAAATTAATGCTAACAATCATAACATGAATGCCAAAAACAGACAAAAAAATCATTATATCAACAGTAAAAACAAAAAAAAAATTTTTTTTTTTCGAATTTATTGTTTCATTTCATTTCTTTTCTCATTTTTTTCAATTATTGTAACTTCGCATTCTCTCACTTCATCGAAATTTTAAAATTTTAATAGATGTTAAAAAAGAAAAAAGAGAAAGTAAAAAAAAAAAAACATTTAATCAAAAAATCCAGTTTCTGATCATTCTATTTGGATCAATAAATGAAGAAATGGATGATTGGTTGAATGGATGCGGTAATAATAACTGCAATAATATTTGTTGATAATTATTAATCCTCTAATAGACATTCATCATTATAATCCATCTATTGCATAATTCACAGTGATTATTATTATCACTATTATTATTATTATTATTATTGTCCCCATTACTATTATTATTTAAGTAACAATTTAACAAGTTAAAATTGTTCAGTTGTTGAAAAATTCACTAACAATGGTACGCTTGACAAATTTATTGCTAATATTGGCGATAGTTTATATGACAAAATGCTTCATTAACTTTGACGGTATGAATTTTTGCTTGTTTTTTTGTAATCGTTAAAAGAAAGAAAAAGTATTGTATTGTGTAAAATGGAAAAATTCCTGAAATATTAAATAACTCTAAAAAAAAATTGAGCGAAAAATTCTTTTTGAAATATTTTAATCCCTATTTTTCTTCCTTTCTTTTTAACATTAGCTTTAAAAAGTTTGTAATATTGTTCATTTCTAATTTTACATTGCGAAGTAGAAAACTTACAATGAATTCAAGAACAAAAGTAATATTGAAAAGAAAAAAGAATGAAAATTTTTTGAAAAAGTGAAAGAAATACTAAGTTAAGGTTGATTATTATAAATAAGGAAAAATTTTTAAGAAAAAAATAGTAGTTGCTACAAGTTTAATAAACATGAAAATACAAATTATGAGTTGAAGTTAAAATTGAAAAAAAATTATGAGTTAAAATCGTGAGTTGAAGCCACTAATTACAAATATGAGCCACAAAATTATGATAGAAATATAAGTTTTAAAGTTTATAAATTAATTATGATTTGTGGTTACTAATAATTTGAAAAATAAAACTAAACATGCTAAAGTGATAAAGATAACAATAATTTTGCCTAAACAAAGTATGTTTTATGTTATATTATTTTTCTTTTAAACTTACAAATTTTACTGTTTTGTTTCATCATTTATATATATTTATTGCTAGACAGAATGTGACGATCATAAAGTTAAATGCTAAGCTAGAAATGAGTCATTGGTTTAAAAAAAATAAAAATTGATTCATTTGAAAATAATTAACAGGTTTTCATTACTATGATAAGTACCATTTGCAACAGTTGCTGAGACTTTTACGTGTCACATATGCTGATGCGGAACGAGAATTGAGATTAATTTTTAAAAATAATACATTGACAAAGCAAGAGTTTCATGATATGATCAGTGACTGGGCGCTGAAACAAAGCGGAATTTTATTTGTAAGTTATATCACTTATATTTATATAAAGTTCATGCTAATTAAGCTACCTCCAAGTCTTCATTAGATATACTAATTAGACATAGGTGATTTTTAGAAATTTTATGGAGAATTTCGGTTTTCGAATTTTTATTAACAATTGAAAATAACAACTGTGTTTTTTTTTTCCTTTTTTAAAATAACATTTGTCATTTTTTGTGACATTTGAAAATTTTGAAAGCAATTTAAGATTGGATTTTATAAAAACTCGATTGTTTTTTATTTCATTATTTAATGAAAAGCAAAAGAAATAGTTTTTTTTTTTTTTTTTTTTTATTAAATTTGCGAAGTTAATATATGAGTGCAATGTTCAGACGTATTTAGTTCATACTTAGGTTTTTTTTTTTTTAAAAATTTCTGAACTGGTTGAATAATTTTGTGTTATTTTAATTTCTCAATTTTTTTCATAAATAAGAAAAAGACAGGAAAGAAATTTTTGATATTTTTCAAAATATTTTCGTTATTTACTAAGATTTTTTGATATTTTCATGAGATTTTAACATTTTTTTACATTTTATGACTTTTTTTTTTCAATTTTTCAGGATGCAATTGTTGAAAATCTAAACAAAATTCAGCAACAAATAATTCAAATGGAAAGAATCGCTGAAGAATCAGTAAATATTAGCTCAAAAGAAGACAAAAATTTGCTAACAGTAATACAAATTAAAACAAATATGTCATTTACAAAATCTCAAGAAAATGATGCATTAAAACAATTTTTGAAAACACTCAATCGAGCTAATCGTGTACGGCTAAATTTACTTTTACGTCAAAATTTCTTAAAACAACATAATATTCGTTCGATTCAGAAATGGAATATTTCATCTGCCAGTGAAAAAGAGTCGAATGAAATTTCAAATGGACATAAACGATCATGCAAAATACTTTGTCATTCAATGAATAATAATGATATTATACATTTAAATTTAAATGCTACCTTAGAAGATGAAATTATAAATGCGATGAAAAATTCTACGGATGATGAAGATCAAATAGTTATGGTTAGTTTAGTTAATTAAATCTAAATTAATTCCTATTTTTTTAAAGGATGACTTTAATAAAATTACGAAGTTTTTTTCATTAGCTTTTTAATAAATATTATTCCAAAACTGAAGAAGAAATACCATAGAGAGAACAAAGATTGTTTAATTTTTATTCCCGGTACATACAGATTTTTAAATACAATCAGTTGAGAATAGAAAATAAGCTACACATGAAAAGATTTCTACAATCTTCTAAAATACTAAATAACATTTCATTTCATGAAGACTTCTAGAGTGAAAAAAAAATTTACTGATGATATAGTTTACGCTTGATATTTGCGCCAGAACTTTTGATGCTACAATTAAAATTAATTAAACTATTGTTATGCGACAGACGTTACTGGAAATATTAGCCAACTAAATAGAAACAATTTTAAAATTTTTTTTTTTTTTTTTCAACAATTCAGATCAATTATGATTATTCAATTAAAACTTTCAAACATACTTTGAAAAATAATATGATCGTCTGATATTTTACGTTATTATTTCTAAAATTTAACTTTGAAAATTTCTCAAGTTTTTAAATTTGACATTTTCAAATTTGATTTTATTTGCATTATTGTTAACTTTTAAATCAATAAGTAAAGAGGAGATATTACAGGGTGAAATGCTTGAATTACTTGAAGACAGCACTGAATATTCGCCTATTTTGGTGCAGGTGCCAATCATTTAATGTTGAAAATGTTAAGAAAGTGAATGCTTTTGTCAAATGAGGTGATATTGAAATTAAAAGTGAATTAATTAATTCTAATTTGTACTTTATAATAAATCATTTGGTATTTTTCAAATTTCGTTCAATTACCATATCAAAAAACTTGATTATATTGTTTCTAACAATATAATCAAATTTTATATAATCAAATCAAATTATATCTCATTTCATCTTCATGTGAATGCAAATAAATAGATTAATCAATCTTTAAATGGTAATTTAACAATTAGTGTAGAAAATTTCTGCGCTTCATTTAACAATTAGCCCAAAGTAATTATTTGATTAAGTCTAAATTATCCTATTATGTCTAAATTTCATCTCTAATCTTTAATTAATTGCATCGTATGTTTTAAACTTAGCAGTGAGTCTTTTCATGTTTGTAATATGCTATGATAATGTGCTAAAAGAATAAGTGTTGATTGATTTATTCAATAAATATATATTATTTATTCTATCCGTTTCCATGGATACAGCAATAACTACACGCTAGGCCAGTGATGGACAGAAGCTAGGCTAATTTAGTAGTATGATTTATAACGGAGCAACATCAGATGTTCCTGGCCTCGTTATACGACCGACAAATCAGGAAAAGTAAGTTCACAAATAATTTTTTATCAACTGATACATTTTTATAACATGTGGCCAATTCTTTAAATGTAAAATTAATTTTTGTCTCTTCCTTCTTTACTTTTTGTTGTCAAAAACTGCGCTATCAACCCTACAAAGACCAAATTTTTATTTTAAAATTAAAAAAAAAAAAAATGGTTTCGCTAATTTAAGGTTTTATTTTATCGTTTGAAGAATTTTACAATTTAACGCAGCACTTGTGTAATCCAGTTAGTATCTGTTGGGTACGTAAACTTTCAAACTTCAAAATTGTTGGATTTTCAAAATGTTAAGCTTAAATCAGCTACTAATCGAATAGAAAATTTAAAATAAGGAATTGTGAAGTTGAAGAAGGAAATTGCAAAAATACAAAATCAACTATGTCATCTTTTTTCGTCCACAATTATGATATCACTAACTTTTAAGCTATTATGAAATTAAACTTATGTATTCTTTAAGATTTCGTGCCACTATTGGACAACGAATATTAGAAGAAGTATTAGTTAAAAGTTTAGATGGATATACGTTTGAATCCAGCAAAGCAGAGCAATTCAGCAATTCATTATCAGCAATAATTCGAAATCGTTTGAAAGGTATTCAGAATTATCCAATTTCTTTTTTTTTTTCTTATTTCATGCAAACAAAGAAAGAAAGCTTATACTACTAAGCGTTCTTCTATCTTCAAGAAAGAAGCAAAACTTGTTTTATCAACTGGAAAGAAATACTTCTACAATCGATAGATTTATTGTTAAATAAGTGTTTGCTCCACTAGATTTATATTGTTTCCTGAATATTTCTTGATACTTGAATCTTAATTTGTAAAGTTGCTTTAATCCTTAAGTATAATTAAGAAGAAAACATGAGAACTAGATGGAATAAAGTGATCTACAATTTCTGGAAAATGTTATTGTTTCAAATTAATAATTCTTTCAGAACTTAATTTACCAAAATATAAGTATATAATTCAAGTTATTTTGGGGGAAGAACATGGACAAAGAGTTAGGTGAGATTTTTTCAACCAATTTTCATTCATAAAATGAATCTCCCTCACTCATAAAAGCATAGCTGTTACGCAATCCAAGTGTTAACGTATGACCACTAAAGTACAAAGGTATGAAATGCTATGCAATGTCCTTCCATTAATCGTAAAACGGAAGACTTTCTTTCGGATCACTGTATGTTAATTTCACTTAAGTAATTATATAGCGTCTTTAAGTAATATATAAAAGTTTAGTATTCAGGGCACATGCAGCATGCATGTGGGATAGCGACACCGACTCCGTGGCGCACTACGTTCATTCAAATGTCAGTTCCATTGCAGAAAGCAGTTATTTCTTTCTCTTGTTTCCAAGCCAGGAAAGTAATTCCAACAAGATACAGTTTATTCTTCCATAAAAATTTCAGGACCACTTATTTTGTGAAGCATCAATATTCGCTGTATTCCACTACTAATATCCCACTTATGAATACTTGGAATCGTAAAACACCTAGAGAAAATAGAAACAACCTGCCATAGTATGTGCACTTTCTTCTGTGATGCAACTATGTTGTGGAAGATTTCCGAAGTTTAGAAAACATTTTATGCAATCAAATTATGTGAAAGGTAAATAAAACAATAACCATATAAAACTTAATCAGACTTCTGTCTTACGCACACGTCGCCCACGGCGTGATGCTACCGGTTTCAATGAACGAAGTAGCTGAGAAGCTCGTTTCTGAGCCAACTGGAAATAAAAAATAAAGGCAAAATATGAAAAATTATTTTTCAGCTTCTGCATGTTCTCAACCACTGATGCAGATTTAGCTAAGGCAGTTCAGTATTTCATGCTTTTATAAGATAAAAATAATTATTTCATAAAACTACGCTGTGAAGCGTAAGCCTTAAGAGAATAAAATTAAGATTAACATCCTTAAACTATGTCACAGTTAAAGAAAATTTGTTAAGTACTGTATAACTTTCGCTTAAATTTTTTACTAGAAAATAAAGAAAATTCCAACTGTAAAAACATACTCCTTTATGAGGAATTCGGCAACTACGAGCAATATTCTTCACGCTTTTTAACGATTTACGACTGTTCTTTTTCAGCGTAACCGACACGCCCGACTTAGCAGGGAAAAAGGTTTTACCTGCAAAACTCGTCCCTAAATTAAGTTAGAAGTAAAACTTTAAGAGCCGACATTCCCAAGCTTAAAGTTATTCATGATAACCAGAAAACTGATGCTGCACTTAAGACTGATGTTAAAATGTTTGCAAAATAATTAGGAGAACTGTTTAAATAAACAGTTCTCCGAAAATATGTTAAAAAACCAACACAGATGCGATATGAAATAAGCCTGAATTAAGATAAAATGAGACAGCAAAGGACCAAACAAGTCATCTATGCAGTAGTCAGCTGCGTAACCCTGTTGTGAGAAAGGATAATTTCTTATAACTATCTTTTTTTCTTGTTCTTTTCACTCCTTGGAAAACAGGCGTAGAAATTCAATAAAATGGATCATAATCACTTTCTTTATTGTCAGTAAATATTGCACTTTTAAAAATCAAATCCTGATGATCCTTTCATAATAATGTTTTTACACAATTTTCAATTATTCTTCGATTAATTAATGGTCTACTTCTGAAATTCTCTACACATAAACTATTTTAAATCACTTAAAAAAATGCCAAATTGTACTCTCATCCTGTATCAGCTAAATGATACAGAATGAGAGAACAATTTGGCTGTACAAAAGATAATAGAGCTAATAAATATTCGAAAATTACAATTTAACCAAAAAGCGAACAAACCAAATGATTTACCTCGCTTCTTCATTACCACTACAATGCCTTTACCATCAGATGCTGCCTGGATGTCCAAACCTTTTCTATGAACCAATCCATTGAAACGAATACTGTTAACACCTTTGATATTAAAACGTTCTCTGCTAAAATGTTTCGGGATTCCACGTTGTCGACGCAGAAATGACGATGTCTTTCGAATAACCTGCCACTGAATATCGGCTGATACCATCACTGCCCAACTCTTCTCTGTTCACCTAAAGACTCATCCACTTAAATCCCAGCTTACGTAGAGCTCTCACGACCAGTCGATAACTTAACTGAACGTAATATTTCATATTCCACAGCGTAAACAAACCCCTCCCACTCCAGTCGTCAAATTTGAACGGAAACCATCCGACAATTTGGGATGAGCCTAAGATGGGATATAACACACCGCAGATGGTCTGTTAAACGCCAACTTCGGTCGAAATGCAATAATAGAACTCACGAGGATTGAATTGTTGACTTTTGAAATTTTGGTTCTGGAAGTGATTTAGGTTTAGATGTGGAAATGTGCGATTTCAAATTCCAGTTAATTTAAAGAATAAATATTTTGAGGTATAAAAGACCCATAATTATGCCTACTCCAAATATCGGGAAACGACGTGTACCACCAGATCGACCAACGAGTAGTAGTTGGGTTCGAGAAAATTTTGTCGTTGGCGGTGTGCTTGGTTCAGGTACAAATTAATTATTTCTTATACTCACATGATTTTGGAAATTATATTCATGTAACAGACTGTCGTTTGATCACCAAGCGCTATTAATGAATCAAAGAATTATGGACCGTTCCAATTCTTCCACTTCTCATTTTTAATTTCTCATTTAAGTGAGAAAGCAGTTGCGTTATCTTTTTTCTTGTTTTTGATCTTACTTATTTCTTCTGCTCCTACAATAATTTTTGTGTTAAAATTTAACCACATTTTTTGAAATAAAAACCCTACATTTCAGTTTAGTGCCATTGCTTTTCACATTTAATTGCTATCTTACTACAACTATATGTAATCAAATCAGTATTCACTCTTCCATTATCCATTATGATGGTTATGGAAAAAATATTAATTATGCACTTATGAATAAGTAAAATTCTTATAATATATTTCATAATGACGCATCAAAATAATAACACTGTTATTTTTTTTTCTCAGGTACTTTTGGCAATGTGTATCAAATAAAATGTCGTCGTGATCCTGGTACATCATATGCGATGAAAGAATTAGCAAGGAATAATTTACCAAAATTTATCGCTATGGAATTACGCATTTTGCAACGTTTTGGTGGTGTTCATAACATTATGAGGATCCATGCAGCTCATCGAGAACGTGATCGTGTTTTCATTGTTATGGATTACTTTGAGCATACTCCTACTAAGGTGACAACAAACTAACAGATTGAAATGTTGATTTTCTAATTTAACCTAATTTAAGGTTCGAGAGTTTGAAGTTAGAGAATAGTATTTCTAACTTAAAATTTCAGAGTTTTGGTTGTGTACACCATCACTTTTAGTCTTTGCAGTCGCATTACTTTTATCCGA